CGACGTTCTGAAAAAAAAACGAGTGCCCCAGCCTACTCCTAATAGGTGAACACTTCTCGCGTCGTTGTTTCCTTGCACCAACCCCTAAGTCACTCGTTCACACCCGGTTTGTCCTCTCTTTGCGGCGTCCTTCAACTGTCATTTGGGACACGTGTGTGTCGGTTTGGTTCTGCTGCTACGTGTGGGTCGGTTTGGTTCTGCTGCTGCTGTGTTCTTTTTTTGACCTCGTCCACACCGAGTGGCCAACTTTGGCACGTGTTCAGACCAGCTACCACGCATCTCCTCCTCTACAGCTCGCGGCTTTCACTATCTGCATATCACAGAGGGTGTTCGCGTGTGGTTTGCAGACCGCGATCGGCGACAACTCGCGTGCTAGTTCAAATATTCTGCTGCTGCTGCTGTGTTCTGAGTGGTGGGCATTTTTTTCTACTTCTTCATTTATTAACGCATACGGAGTGCTGACAACAACGATTCGCATCAACAACATCGCATCAACAACATTTCGGGTGTGTGTACCAAAACAAAAGCAACACATATTCACGGGGGGCGCACGACCCAGCCTACTGCAGGTACTTTCCGCAGCACGGGTTATGCTGTTGTGATGGTGCGCGCGGAAAAAACTCCCCCCACTCGGGGTCTAGTATGTGTGCATGTTCTTTAGATCCTCAGATGGCTCTAGCACTTTCGTGACCACGGGCTGAGAGTCTTTGCTAGATGTTGGCATTTAGCAACTGACATATACCCCCTCCTATGTGACCCCGGTTGGGTCGTCTAGCTGGTAGAAGTGGAGGATAGGGGCCAGAGGGGCAGACGACAGAATCCAATGATGGGAGAAAAAAAAAAAAAAACGGTTTCGTGTGAAGACAACAACAACAACTCTAGTGCTCGAGCCAAATTTCCTCATCACCTCGACGTCCCAACACGCCCTTAGTGTTCGCTCGTTCACCTGTGATATTGGGCAGTCGGAGACGTGGTGTACTTATTGCCGAGCTCCGCCTCCCGCCGGAGGCCGAACAGACAGGGAGACAGCAGCAGACGACTTAGCTATTGGGAAAGACGTGGACACATACAGGAGATTTGGATTGGCTGTTGGATGAAGGGAGAAGGGGTAGGGGTCCCGCGGCTGAGGTTGGCAAGGTGCTTGGTACCGGCCGGCGCGCTCGAGCCAGCAGCAGCACAGGCGGGGTCAGGTCAGGTTAGGGTTGTCGGCGAGGCCTGTCCTCGTCAACAAGCAGATCGCTTTTGGACGAGAGGGGACGGGAAAATGATCATACCTGTGAGTATCGACAGAGCGGCGCAGGCAGCTGCTGCGCAGGAAACAGGAGACGGCAGCAGCAAGGACGGGAACCGGGGTGTGTGCGTTCCTCTGTGGTCGATGGTAGAGCTGCAGGGCGAGCTGATAAGCAAGGAACCCCTCTCCGGGCAGCCGTTGGGGAGCATGACTTTCGAGAACGTGAGTGCACGTTCTTCGGTGTAGCGGGTTCCGATGCACCTGCGTCTGGTCTAACGATTTGATGTTTCAACCAAGCGGGAAAGTGATGTGTGCGGGTTGTGTCCCCTCATCACAGATTTTGAATTTTCAAAAATTGACTCAATTTGAGTATGCTTCGACTTACAAGTCAGCTACAGCAGCGGCGTCGTGTCTGTGGGGGGCCCTCAACACAGCACCGGCATCAACTGTATCTGGGGGCGCCTCAGAGGTAGGCACACCAAGGCACACAGGTTCATGACCAGAAGGTGTGCGCGTGTGTGTGTGTGGCATTGCAGCCCTGTTTGGTGGAGAGGGAACTATGGCATCATCGGTCGCATGCAGGTGATGCCGTTGAAAGCTCAATTTGGAGGGATGCGGGTTCTCCGCCATCGCTGCTAGCCGTCATATGCATACCGATCATAATTGATTGTAATGTTGGTGTTAATGTTGTTGTGATGTTGTTCATGTTTTTTATCACACCAAAAGTTGTTGTCATTGTTGTTGTTGTCTCGACACGAAAAGCGGTTTCGGACTCTGCTCCGTACCTTGTACCATCACTGCCGGTCCGACTGACGCCGAAGCGCCGACGCCTTCGGTACGTACTTTTCGTTCCAAAGTTTTTCGCGGTGACGACACTCATTTTCTAGTTCTATCCCGCGTGAGCGGGTTGCCTATTCGTCAACCCTAAGTGGTATGCCCTTGTTGCCTTTGTATTGACTGTATTGCTTGATGTTTAGATGCTTGTTATCACTCACACCCCGTTAGGGGGAAAGAGCAGGGAGTTCCACGCTCACGCTAGCTGAAGTGGGGGCTACGCACAATCATTCTCTGGTCGAACTACCCAACGCATACCTATGTGCAGGGCACCTGAAACAGTCATCTCGTGTACAGATCCGACTACATACGCACTCACACGAACACCCTCCCTGGTTCTTTACGCAAAAGTAACTAACCACTGCTGTGGGATGCGTGCTTCCACCACCTCAAGTCAGTTTTTTTTTTTTTAAACAACAAACCAATAAAAACGTGGGAAACACGGCCACCGGGTCAAAACCCCTCCCTCCAAAGGACGGCACTCCGAAAATGCAAGATAAAGACGCAAACAGGATAACTCCGACAACTTAATCGATCCGGGTAACTTTTCCGCCACGTTTATATCACCTTCCTAGTACCCGGCAAAGCCCAAAAAGTCTTCAGCCACTGCTACGATTTTATTCCCCACAAAGCCCACACAAAAATCTGCTGAAATTTACGCCTACTGCCCTCCCCGCTCGACGAACAACTATCGATGATCTGGGCACCTAACTTCCTCCCTCCCTCTTGATTCCGGCGCATCGTGGCGCCCCCGGGGTCGGTGGTGTATGTTATCATCCTGGGACAACTGTTTTGCCAAACGCATCAAGCATGATAAGCCTCCTTGCATTCAACTCGTACTCCGACTCTCAAAGTCAAACTTCAGCCTGCTTACGCACAACTCTTCAACTCTCAGAAAAAAAAAGTTCCAATTCTCAACGACCTCAGAGAAAACAAAGTTCCAATTCTCATCAACCACTATGCAGCACGCGTCGATATGGCTGCTCTCCCTCACTCGAAGAACACTGCGGGCCATCATGTCGTGCGATAACCTCCCTCGCTTTGTAGCGAGTGGTGCGCTCACACCATACCCCTCTCATTCAACGCTCGCGGAAAAACACGCATGACTGTCTACTGCATCGAGAATTTATCATTGCTGAGGCTTCCTTTCCTCCTACAAGCCATACACAGTGGTTCCTATCATGGGGCTTCTCCCCTTCACAAGACAAACACTGATACAGGTTGTAGGGAGGCCTTGCCACTGCGAACCCCTCAACAAGGTGGATACGTCTGGTACATGGGTCCACACCTACCTGCAGCAACAACGGGAATGTCACCATGAACGGTGTCCTCCCCTCCCCATTTCCACCTCACGCACACAAGGTGATACGTCTGGTACACGGATCCACACCTACCTGCAGCAACAACGGGAATGTCACCATCAATGGTGTCCTCCCCTCCCCATTTCCACCTCATGTTGACACCAGCACAATTTTACCTGCGCCGGTGTCTGCAACTTTTGATACACCGGGTCCTGTGTACATCTGTGCGTGAGTTTTCATCGGCCGCGGGGAGCGCCTGTGCTGCACCCCCTCATTTGATACGCTTGGCCCCGCATTCCCCGTTTATTCTGCCCCGGACAAAGTTTTCATCGCCCGCGAACAGCACGAAATGGAAGCGCCCGTACCGCGAATCCCCATCATAGAATGGCTGGTTTTTGGAGCCGAATTACGATTGACGTGCGAAACACCCACGATAACACGCCTGGACTTTACTTTCGAATAAGACGAACTACAATTGCTCAACAGGACACCCACACTCAGGAATGGAAATGCCTGAACCGCTAATCCCCTTTCGACAAAACATCATTGATTGCATGATCGTAAGTGAAACTACCATCACTCTACGAAGGCCAAATCAGAAAATGGAAACGCCTTAACCGTGAATCCCCTGTAGAAACCTTCGGTATCATTCGTCACAATCAAAATCATTCAACATCACTCACGAATCTCAACCAGAAAGTAGTATCCGCCGTGGCCCCGTGCTCTCTTTCACCCCCTCGACCCCCCTTTCCTTTTCTCAGAGCGCCTCGCACTCGACATCCAGCATTTACTCCAGGCTGCTGCACCGCTCAGGCAGTTGGATCGCCAGCGTCGCCACTTCATCAACAGACGGGCACTTTTCCTTGGTGTGGCCGAACCCCGAGCATTTTTCGCACCTCGGGATGAACTTGGACTCCTCCGTGTCCCAGTCCCATTTGTAGTGTCCCTTCTGGTTGTCCCTGAAGCACCGCTGATGGTCAGGGGCGTCGCCGTTCGATTTGCTATTGTTCTCGCCGGTGCCACCGCCTTTTCCTCTCTTGTTCCGCCCGTTGCTACGGCCGCCCCGTTGCCCCCCCCCGCCGTCCCTAGCGAGGAAGGCCTGTTTTACTGCCTTTGGCGCTTTCGCCCGCGCCGCTTTCTTGCTGATGGTGCGGAACCGGGTAACCACCACCCGGATGAGGGTGTCCCTTATGAGGTCTATGGTGGATGCCAGCGTCTCCTTCGATACCTCATATTCGGACGGTAGAGAGTCGATAAATCGCGTAAACACGATCGGATCTTGGAGGTACGCGTTCCCACACTGAAAAATCTCCCCCCAGAGGTACGAGGTAGTCCAACTCATTCAGCGCCGCTACAGGGTTCTGGTCAACCCGCGTTTGGTACTCGTTGAATTTGCGGAACATGTCCTACACCGCCCCTTGGGTCTCTGGCTTGTGCACCGAGTCTAAGGTCTTCAGTGCGTCCCGGGGCGATGGGCATTGTCGGATGAGGTTCGTGTCCGATTCAGAGACGATTGCAGAGGTCAACAGCCGCCACGCTAGGTGTGCGAAGTCGATGATTTTCCAGGAAAAAACCTCACGCCGCAAATCACTCCGGGATTCCTGGGTGTGTGGAAACTCTCCTTCCCCCAAATAATTTTACGTCAGATCCGTTGAGTAGCGTAGAAAATCCATCCTCCACCTAGGGAACATGCTTTTGTTTCCTTTGAAGTTGGGTGGGGGGGTGATACGCAGTCGTGTCCGAGACCCCTCCGCCTCTCCCCAACCGTCCCAATCATAATCTCCTCCACCAGCCCCATCTATCTGACCTTGGGTATGAGAACCCGCCGCTTCGCTTTCCAGCAGGGGGCCCGCGGATGGGTGGCCCGAGGGACCTGCTCCCCCGGCTCCACCAGGTGGCACCCCAAGCCGTGTGCCCGGCGCCCTGCGGCATTGCCAGCGCCGCTAGACTCCCCCTCTCCTGCCCCCGCCGCCCTGGCAGGCGGCATCTGAAGTTGCCCTAGCTCCTCCATGACAGCCGACAGCACGTTGCTTTGCTCCTCGAGCCTCGTGGACAGCTCCGTCACGCGCGAGTCGATCGTGGTTCCGCTGCGTCGCTCGCTGGGGTATCGCCAGGCATAGTCTCTGCAAAGGGGCTCCTTCGAAGGAAGCTCTAGAGTATTCGTCAACCCCAAATGGTCTTTGTAGTGACTGCTGTGGTGCTTGATGTTTAGATGCTTGTTTTCACTCACATCCGGTCGGGGGGAAAGAGCAGGGAGTGCCACACTCACGCCAGCTGTTGTGGGGGCTCCGCACAATCATTCTCTGGTCGTACTACCCAAGGCATACCTATATGCAGGAGCACCTGAAACAGTCATATCGTGTACAGATCCGACTACATACGCACTCACACGAACATTGCCCCCCGCTGAACTTCTAATAATTCTGGTGGTTTCCCTCGTAAACCTATTATTGAATATGTAACTGTTTCGTTGCGTATCCGTTGGAGTTCGATGAGCCCTGAAGCGAAAAAGAAACTTGAACTTGCGAAAACGATTGCGGCAAAATCGTGACTCAATGTCGACCGAGGGACATGAACGACTGCACTCTTCCTGCGCGACTAGCGGAAACCCGAGACCCGTTCCGACATTGTTCAGATGCAAGGTTATGCGGTTTTACACTGAGCCCCCGTCCCTCTCCTCGCCGCTACATCACCAAACAACACGCTACGATTTTATAGGGGAAAGCCATGCTGGTGATCAGCAACCACCAGCTAGAGGGGAAGGCCGCCTCAGAACCCAAGCCCCTGCTCGTGCTGAGGAAGGTCGTGGTCGACGTAAACGACGAAAACAGCGGCGACGGCGGCGGCAGTGGCGCAACACCTGGGGGTGGGGGCGACAGCGAGGGGCAAGGAGGGAGCGAGGCAAGGCGGCCACCGGCGCAAAGGGTCGAGTACCGAGTGGTGGGGAGGGTTGCGCGAAAGACGATATTCAAGACGAGACCGAAGCCGCTCATCAAGAAGCTCGGCAGCGGCGGCGGGCGTGCCGGCGGTTCCACGGCGCGAAGTTGTATGTAGTCTAGCCCACCTGTTTTTTTTTTTTTTTGCGAGAACGATGCTTAGTCTAGTGTTTTCGGTCACGACGGTTTGCTTTCGAATGGTGCTTTCCGCTTGTGACTCAAAGAATCGTGTCGAGTCTTATTTTTTTGCTTGCTGTAGTGTTGATCGATTGGTTCGGTCGATCAGGGATGAAGTCCAAGTTGCAACTACTGTTTCCGGTAGTTTCGATGGGCGGTGTCGATGGAAATGTTGGGTCTCATTCTATCAGCGATGTGAACTCTAACTTCTCCGGGTTGGATTGTTTACACTACATGGTGTACATGTAGGGTTGCTGCCGTTGCTACGGGGGACTGAATCTCCGAGGATTTCCTATCATGTTGCTTCGATGTGTTCTTTGTTATCTGGTTTGGCGGGAAACGGACACATATAGCACAACGCACCAGCTGTTGCTGCGGTGAAGGCTGTAATGCCAAGAAGGAACCCTGCAGTATTGTCATGTGATGGGAGAATTGGGGGGGGTTGTTTAGAACTGTTCAGAACCATAACTCCCCTGTGATGCCAAAAACTACAGTGCAAAGGCCCTTTCATTTCGCGCTCTTGTCTACAGCCATAACGCGCCGTTGCTTCCCTCCGATACCGTATTCGTTCACGTAAGGAACTGCAGAAGGGTTCTCCCCAGTGACCCACGCGGTATTTTGTACGTATAGAGCGCTGACACTTGAACAGAGCAACGACAGTCGCTACCGTACGGTGGCCAGTCCACGAAAGCACCTCAACGGTTTCCACGAGCGTGTCCCCGCCTGAGCGTCTCTCCTCTACGGTGCAGCTGCAACAATCAGATCGACTATTTTTTCATAGCCTGATCCACGCGGCGGCCCTTGCAACTGGCAAGAGTGCCAAAATCTTATGGGTGTGTTGGGGCATTTTAGTGTCTGCATGCAACGAAGGTGTTCCTCGGCAAAGAGGCATGCTTTGTGCCTACGCCGATGCTGAGCGCGTGACAATTTGCTGCGACCAAACCCTCCTGGTTGATTTTGAATTCTTCGCCGGATATGCAACAGGCATCACGACGTTCTTCCACTGAATACCTGTACCTGTACACGAAATATTCTACTCTGGATCGACACCACGTTCTCTATCGGAACCCACCTGACGTCCGTAGCTTAACAGCTGCGGTCTCCGTGTGCATAGTCTCTGTTGAAAAACCAACTACTGCTATGCAGGTCGCGGTCCAGCACTACCCCCCGGATTTTCAACAAAGAGGATGCTGTAGTACAAGTGCTATCCGACATTGGTCTAACGTACAGTACGCATCCCGTACCCCAAAACACGTGTCCACGCAAACAGAAAGCTGTGTGCTACCCCCGCGAAGGCATGGATGTACTTCTTCGGTCGTTTCCAATGTTTGTGTGTCCTCTCTCTGTTCGTGCTGCATCTGCACAAACTTCCGAGGACCAAACTACATAAATATCCCATCATCACAGGGTAGACATTAGAAATAGCACCACGGGTCAGTCCAACCTCATGCGACCCCGACGGCCAAAATTCCTGATATCCTGGCCATCCCCTCAAAGAGTGTATATCGCCAGCGGACAGCTTACCAGGATCAAGATATGCTCGTCGTTCCCCGAAACGCGACACAATACCACACGTACCCGCACCGCATTTTAGGTTTAAATTATTGTCCACAGGACATAAATTCTATACCAAACCGAGGAACCCATTACCGCTCTTCGCCACGGGATAGAAATACCGGGCCACCAGGACCAAAACGCTACAAACTATTATGTTTTGTCCGAAGTCCCTTGGTGGTCCGTTTTTCCGTTCAAAGTCGAGTGCGGAGCGCGGTAACGGGCTCCTCGGCTGGAAGAGAATGTGCGTGGTGCGGCAACATATTCTGACACGCTCAATCCTATATACGAACACGATTCAGACACAGCAAGCAATGCAACCAAGCAACCCCGATAGTGAAAATTGTGTCTCCCGACCCCGGCTTTTCGTTTAAAGTCTGAGATGACACAGGCAGCTTCACGCAGTCCTTTCGCTGGCAAAGCTTTGGGTTGACACTTAAATATACTCTCCAGTGCTATCAGCAACATCCAGACCGCGTGTAGTGTGGTCAATCACGGATGCGCGCCCTAGCCCGCGTTCTCTTCAAGCTACTTACGCGTATATGTTGCACCAGTGTGTACGCGCATTCTGCCCGATGAGCTGGTCGCATCTTCTGTACGTATTTCTCCCACTGCTGACACACTCTCTACTCGCCTACTGTACCTAGCGTATGTTCAGCACACACCTTCTCGTATCTCTTCCATCCTGTCGTAATGATCCCCGTCATGTTTTACTGGAGTAACGGCACCCAACGAGAGTAGCTCAGCTATGGTCGATAGGCCCTTTGGCTACTTTTATCCGCAGTTCCTCCATCAACACGTACATCTCCGCCGCACCTGCGGCTACTCCGCTGCCACCGTCGAGAAACCCTATCCGTGCCCCCCCCTTCCCCAAAATGCTGCTGCGCCTCGCGCCGCCTCGCTACCGACGCTGCCACCCTCCCCGCCGTCCAGGCGGTTGCTGTTGCTGTTTACTTTGACATACTCCGGCATTCGGTTGCCATAGTACGCCTGAAACGACGTCAGGATGTTGAGAGGAAACGAGGAATGGGAAATACGGTGGTGGTATGCACTGCAATGCCTTGACAGCTACGGGACCACGGGAGTGATTGTTGATGAAACATCGGCAGCGGGACAGAAAGCACACACACCAACGTGCCTCACAAAGATGAATTCTCCCACAGCTATTCATAACCCTACCACAACTTGCTCGGTGCTCTCAAAGACCGCGTGGTCAACGGTCTACGCTGCTAAGGCATGCAAAACGTGAGTACGCCCCATCCCACAGCTTGAACATACGAGTGACTTCTAATAGGGCACACGCGGACTGCTCGAAATTTTGTAGGGTACTATACCTCGAGGTTTTGGTAGAGAGCCTTTTGTCTCGCCTGCTCCAAGAAAGCGGGGGATAGTCGTCGCTCGTTACCTTCCGCCTGAAGCACCACAAAGTGCGAAAAAAAGCAAGAGTGACGAAGGCAGCGAAATTAGGCATGCCACCGAGGGTGGCGGGGTGAGAGACTGAAGAGGCGGACAATCAGCAACCAACTGCAACAACAACAATAACAACAACAACAACAATAACAAAAACAACAACAACAACAACAACAACAACAACAACAACAACAACAACAACAACAACAACAACAACAACAACAACAACAACAACAACAACCTGAACAGCTATATCAGTAACGATCGCAACGAGGCAAATTTTTCTGGCATGCCAAGAAGAAAGGGCGGGTCTGCGACGCCGACAAGACCGGCAGTTATTTGCTCATGTGCCAAAGTTGTAGCTCTTTCTTTAGCACATACTCCTATAATCGAGGGTCATGTGGCTTCGCTTTTTGTCTTCGCTGACAGTGACAACGCTATGCTGGCTGTTTCCGTTTCGTTTGTTGTCACTTCCGGGCAATTGCCCTTGCCAAAACTCACTCTCACCATACTTCCAGCTTTTTTTTCGGGTGTTTTTTTTTTTCTCACCTCTCGAAGCTTGGAGTAGCTAGCGGCGTCCGCGTGGTCCTTACTGCGTGTCAGATGCATTTCGTCTGCGACGAAAGAGCAAGCAGCAGCAGCAGCAGCAGTGGCAGTGGCATCAGTGGCATCAGTGGCATCAGTGGCATCAGGAACGACGCGTCAAACTAGCAGCAAGTGGGGAGAACAGGTAGCACCAGCACATCCGGCGCAGTGTGATGAACGTAGACAGGTAGGTGTTGTAGCGTGGTATGCCGACCACCAGCTTCGTATAGGATGAAAGTCAGAACCATGCTTACTCCCAGCCCTTTTTCGCTATTCGCTCCCTCGAGTAAATGTTAACGTCAGGGCACACAGATGCCCCTTCGAAAATCAGCGACGAACGTCAGAAGAGGAACAACTAAGCACGTCCTCAGCAGTACGCATACACCTGCTTCAAACACAGAAATGACGAGCCCCACGGCGGCGGCGGGAGGTATGAACCAAACCCGTTCTGCCCACCTTGTATTCGATGAATGCGCAGGTCGGCTTCCGTCTCCTCCACTTGTCGGTCCATCGTCATCCTCGCGATGTCGCGGTCATTCTCTGCAGCCATGACCTGCGACGCACGGTTCACTACATGAGCCACGACACACGGCTTCGATTCGATCGATCCTAGAAAAACCTCCTCCGCCGGGAGCAACAACAGCAACACCTACCACGTCGTTTCTCTCCGTACCTGTCTCGACCGCTCCATTTCCGCGTTCCGTACCACGAGCTGTTCGTGCTGATGGGCAACCTTGAGAAAATTGCGTCCCACAGATTGGGCAGGTGTAGTAGACCGCCCGGAGGTTGCAGTACGTGTATCGACATCGGAGCGTTCAGGAGGCAAGCAACATGCAGGAGATAACGGGCGCAAACGGTCAACGGGCTGAGAGAGCAGTTGGTGGTGTTGACGGACAGGAAAACGGTGGGCGCGCAGCGACAGGGGCGGCCGTACGGATTTCGGCAAAGAAAGACCAGGCACTGCAGGGCAGCCAGGTAACAGGCAGTCAAGGAGCAGGAAGGGCGGTTACAGCAGTAGACGATGGTTCATCGCACAATCCCGCGACACGACGAACTGAACCTTACGATGAAGCAGCAACGAACAAAACAAAAACATGTTTCTGGGTACAGTCGACGCAAAAAAACTTGCGCCTCCAGGATTGTATCTGACCGTGTACCGAGACCATGGGTGACGCTGCTTCTCAAGGCACCGACAAAAGAGAAAGTTGTTGTGCCTTACCTTGATGCCGTCACTTTGCACGCACAAGAAGAACAAACACACACGAACCTTGGATCTTGGAGACTGACAAAAGAGAACGCTAGTGTGGCTTCATGCCGTCGCTTCGCAAGCACAATTCGCGACGAAAATACTAACCTTGAGCTTGGAGATCTCTTCCTCCACGCGGACAAAGTCGCCGTGCAGCTGAGAAGGAATGGTGGGCTTGGCGACGCGCGCCGCGACGATCATCAGTCCCGGCACCCACGCCGATGCAGTCTCCTACCGTGGCGGAGAGCGTGGTCGGGACGGGAAGTATGGGAGGCAAATTTCTCGACTGGGTTCGTGCCGAGGCATTGACACTGTTTGACGGCGTGCATCAGGCCCCCTCGCCTCGACTCTCAAAGCGCTATTGGTCCACTACTCTAGCAAGGGCATCCGACGCCAGACGACGAGTATTCGAAAAGGTCTACCCACAGTTCAGCGCCGCCCGTTGGGGCACCGGATCTCCTCCTTCGGAGCAATCGGCTTGTTGACACTCGGCCCGGGGGGGATTTGACACAAACCGTCAAACACGATAGGCCGCCGGAAATAGGTGAGGGTGTGTGTGGTTGAACCGGGAGGGGGAAACGGGCCACTTCTTCACGCCAAAAAACGGTTGTTTGATTGAAGTGCATTTCAAGCGCACGTACGTACCGCTGGGCAATATGGATGCGAATCAACCCATGGGACACCCGTGACGACCTTGCCCTCAACTTGCCTTCAAAGAGGCCACCAGCATGTCATCGAGCTGGTCGAACTTGTCGATGTGCACCTCGTGTAGGCTGTGGCGGGCGCATAGCAGCTTTACGTCGTGCCGCTGTGCGGTGTTATTTCGCCCACCCCCACACGCCAGGAACCATTGACATGCAGACGAAAGGAAGTTAACACGCACACGTGCCAAGTCAAAGTCAGCTTTCGTTGTAGCGTGCTGCGCTGCCGTAGAGCAGGGATGCATAGCCAGGGAAATACGGCCCCTCTCAATCAGGAAGTTCGTTTGGGTCGTTGAACAAATCCACCCTCAAAGTATTGGTGGCCGAAGCACCAGCGGACAGAAAGAAGGGACGCGGGGTCAAAGAAGTGAGTAAACTCTAGATTCGGCATGTCCTAGATTAGGTTGTGCACAGCACGTTGGGTGTGAATACCTCTTCCCTCCCGGTGGAAGCAAGACATAAGAAGCAAGATATAGAAGAGTATCCAACCCCCGTCACATTCCCACTGCCTCACCACACGATCGATGATCCATGCCTGCTCGTAATCTTCGTACGCTTTGAGTGTGCTGATGACGCGTTTCGCAAGAAGGGGGAGCAGACATGGGCCAGAAGAGGGGGTTCAAAGGTAAGTCTTTTGCCGCCATGTCGCACTTGGGGCCTTTTGGAACGCGTCTGAAGGGTAACCTGTAATAAAAGGTCGGTGCCGCAGAATCAAATACAGCGTATGTCTAGACCACTCCGACAGCGAACAACGAAAGGGTGCAAAAAGGGGAATAGTAGTCTCGGTTGTAGACCTTCCCGCGATAAAATGAATCCTGAACAGACGACGATGTGCGTTGCTCTTACTACTCTTCCTCGACTGAACTCTCTTGATCATTCCCATGTGTATCTCTTGACTCTTTGTACGATACACTTTGTAAATGTAGTCTTGTCTCAAAGAAGTATTCCCATCCCTTGGGGCTCCCTACTTTACTCTTCCAATCTCCTCCTTTCTCTGTCCATCTGCCTCTCTCTTACCTGACCACGCTCGCGGGATGCAGGCGGTGTATGATCTCGACCAACGGAAAGTAAACCAAAACGCCCCCGGACGTGCCGCAGGGCACCTGCCGAACCTCCGTGCTGGACATGCACATGTCATTGCGTGTCAGAGAACAATGAGGATAGGACCAGCAGATAGGACGCAAGCACTTAATTGTGGGGAAGTGGGGGATAAAAGACGTTGAGTGAGGCGTTTTACAGGAGACACATAGTCTACAGAGCAGAACCTGACAGTAGTCCCGCCCTCGGCTGTTTGCGTATGGAAAGCGGGCTTGGGAAGCGGGTACGGACCGTCTACGGTAATTGAGGTTCGTTCGACGCATGCTCAATCAACCAGACAATCCGTCCGATCCATGCTTAGGGTTTGGCAACTCGCCACGCACTCGCTCGTGAAACATGGCGACGCACTACCCGCAGGTGCAGCCCGAGAAAAAGCACACTCTGTACGTGTACCGTAGACTACGAGAGGAGCCCCGCGTGCCAGTGGTACACCCCGGGCGGGAATATTGGTACACAACAGAGCCAAAGTCTTACACCCGTGGTTGGGTAGTGCTTACGTCCTGACGTTCACCGGGACCTCGATGAGCTCGTACAGGAACGGCAGGACAAAGTGATAGCCGGGGGCCTTGATCTCGTCCAGCACCTTCCCGCCGAAGCGCAGCACTCCCACCGAGCCCTCCCCCACCGACTTTATGGCTGAAACAAAGCGAAAACGCGCGGGCCGGCGGGGCCCTAGTCAGCAGCGAGACTACCCAGAGCTTACGGAGAAAGGTTGATGCTGTTATCAGTTTCTCAGCGGCATGGAGGAGAGGACATGTCCTCTCTTCGCAACCGAGACAAAACTCCCACACACACAGCCGCCCAAACGGTTGCAGAGAACCCGAAAAGCGCTGTACTGCTACAGTTCTCCAGCTGTGGATGGGTCTACGACGTATTCGATGCAATAGGGTATGGAGCGAATGGGGAGAGTGGAATCAGCGAAAATGCAATACTATGATCACTATCGCTTCGGAATCGTCGAAAAACAGAACAGCTGCCCGCCACTAAGGGTACCCATCAGATCAGAGGAATTGTACCGGTGAAAGCAAACGGTGAGTGTCTGGGAGATGACGCTGCCGCGGCCATGCGGAGTAACCTGTGGATGCATCCGGTGCACAAACGCTGCCACACACATAAGCATCGACTCGTACCGTAGGGGGACAGGAGAACGGGCCCGGCAACAGCAGAAATAGCTCCGATCACAGCCAGCCACACCAGTGTGGTGCGACCCACACTACCGCTGTTTCCTCCCGCTCCTCCTGCAGCACCGGCAGCACGATGTCGCGGTCTATCTGACTGCATCCGGCCTCGTTCTCTTCTATTGAATCCAATAAGAGAACCACAACGCTGATGCAGCGGGTGCTTTGGGGAATGAAATAGCACTCTCCCCGATCCCCACCACGCGTCAACACCCTCTGCACCTATCCTCGAGAGTAAAGCTGATGTGCATATGCACAGCAGTGCGGAGGGAAGGAGCAAGGATATCCTCGAAGATCCCGTTTTCATAATCCTGAGAGCGTGTTGGTTTTTAGGGAGACGGGGAGACGAACTTGCGGAGCCCCGGCGAGTGTTTCCGTTTTCGGCAACAACTCCAGACAAGAGGAGACACGGGCCCACGAGCGCGCATAGCAGGTGGGGCAGGAGAGGAGCCCAGGGAGAGGGGAAGGCAAAGAGGAGATTTCATCAGACTGCGCAACGGGTGAGCTAGAACAGATGCAGTATCTGTGGCTTGTTTTTTTACCACGCGATGGTGCACATCACGACGCGGCGCAACCTCGGTGCGCACACGTGTGTTTCCAGATTCCACACCGCTCTTGTATTATCCTTGGTGCTCTTGTAAGCATACGCGGTTGCTGCTGCCCTTTTCTACTGTACCTCTCAATTATTTTTCGCGCGGCTGCAGGAGAACGCGCCGACGGGGGAGGAGGAGGCGCGGCGACAAACACTTGTGTCAGAACCGAGCAATTTGCCACCCGCGAGCATTAGGACAGGAGTTGGTAAACGGCCGCCGCCGTATTTGGCAGGCAGCCCAGCAACAGGAACGGCGGTGTTTCCGGCAGAGCGCACCAGCAGCAGCAGCGGGGTGCTTGTACAACTCTGCGCTGCGGCGTCCCTGGTACCTGTGCAAGGAATTCACAGCTCCTTCTCGGCACAGTTTGTTGCTCTCTCGAGAGCAACACCGACCGGCTTTTCACCACGGGCGGAAATCCATCAACGCAAAGGCCGGAGCAGGAAGGAGAGGCCGCTTGCGGTCAGCAGCAGCAGCATCGACGGCAGCAGCAGCAGGATCGTGATGAACAACTGGAGACAGGTAGCAGCACCACCAGCGCCCAGAGGAGATTGCCAGCGACAGGTGGAGCCACTGCAGCTACAACGGCAGAAGCAGGGACGCAACAGAAGGGTGGCCTAGTTCCCTCGAGGAACGGCGGCGGGAGCGGTGACCTCGGGGGAAGTAGAAGAGGTACCTCGCGTTCGATACAGCAGCAGCGACAGCGGCGGCGGCAGCGGCAGTGGCAGCGGCAGCAGCAGCGGCAGCAGGAACCGGCTGCCGCGGCAGCAGCTACCGCTGTGCCACCACCAGCATCAACCCCGAGGGGACCAGCAGCAGAGGGCGGGGATCGCGCGAGGACGCCGGCTCGCACCGTCACCACCGCCAACATCGGAACCAACACGACCCCGACCATCAGCAGCAGTTTCAAGAAGAAGGCCAGGAGCATGCAAGGCACCGCTCCCCCTTTCCCGTCCGCCGCCCCGTCCCCGCGGCGTGGAGCCGACGGCGGCGTCGGCGACGGCGCCGCTGCGCCGTCGCCGACGACAATCGCCAGCGCGAACGCTCTGGCGAGCGGCACCCGCCGCCGCGGCGGCCGCCTGCCGGATCCGCGTAGAGGGGGGGTCGGCGTTGGTGGGGGCGAAAAGCTCTACCCCATAGAGGGCCTTGGTCCCCCGAAGCAGAGGGGCATCCACGACCGGGCGATAGGGGGGCACGTAAGCAGCGGCAGGATCGCTTGGAGCGGGGGCGGGTCGAAGCTGCTGTTCGGCGGCGGCGTCAGCGGCGGGGGCGGCGGGGGCAGGGGACATACCAGGCCCTCCCCCGGGATCGCCGGTCCACAGCCCTGGGCCGGGCAGGGGATGAAGAAGTCAACCCTCAGGTCGAAAGAGCTGCTTAGCGGTGGCGGCGGCAGCGGCGGCGGCGGTGCAAGCGCCGGCACGACGAACGCCGGTCGTGCGGAGGCGGCGGCGGGGGACGGGGCGGCGGCGGGGGCCGCCACTTCGTTGCGCAGGACGGCGGGTAGCAGTAGCAGTATCAGTAGCAGTGTGAGTAGTCACCCTTCTGCGGCAGCACTTGCAGGATCGTTGGGGGCGGAAGGGAGGGCGGCGGCGGCGGCAGCTCTCGGCAGAGACGGAGGTCCCGTTGAGGCCGACGGGCGCAGGGGCGCGGCAGCGGCGGCGGCGGCGGCGGCGGCGGCGGCGGCGGCGGCTTCGGAGAAGGCTAACGCCAAGGTCGTCGAGGATGCTCTGCTCGAGCAGATATCGGTACGTGCGTGGGTGACGACGTGTTTACAGCCATTATAATACTATTTATTCCAGGGTCCCGAGCAAAACAAGCAACACAATCAAAGAAAACATGTGATGGGAGTATTTTAATGTCCCAAACCTGGCGAACAGCCGACAATTCTTAGACCCGCAAAACAGAACAAGAGATTGTTGTCGAGAAGGTTTTTGGTTCAAGCCGTGCATGCTGTTCGATCAATACGTTAGCTTCTTCTCTGAATTGTCTTTTTGCACGCTCCGGAGCGTTTTTTTGTTGGGTGCCAGATTATGTACCTCAAACCCGGTGTTTGCCATCGGGGTTGGGTTTTCGTCGCTTGGCAACGACGTTGTAAAACAAGCCAATTCACTTCGTGAACTCGGCAACCAGGTTACCGTTTTTTTTTTTTACCTCCGTTTTTTTTTTTGGCGGTAACCATAATGGTGGTCGAGTAGATCATGTTGTGCGGGGTGGAGAACCCTCACTCCGCGCAAGGGGGATGATCGCACCACGTTGTGTTAAAATGGTCAAGCACCCTCGAGGCAGTTACACAGTGCTTACAACTGTCTCTGGAAGTGAAAGCACCAGAAAATAAATTAAGTCATACGCAGCTGTCATCCGTACGCAAGGAAGTAAGCACAAGATGCCGAACACCCTTAGCAACATGCAGCGCACCCTTCATGTGACTCGCCGAATACCTCACGGCGCTTCGCG